GTAGTGATACTGCCTCAGAAACCCAAGGAGGGGTCGCTATGAGTCAGGGCTGACTCGATGGCAGCAACAGCAGCAGCAGCAGCAAACTATAAGAAAATAAATCCCTGTTTGTTAAAGCCACCCATTTGTGTTATTTTTTGTTAGAGTAGCACTAGAGAAATAAAACAGAATATATTCAGCTATCTAAAGATATTAACTTTATTTTTAATATTACTGGGTGTTTCTGATTGAAGTTGTCAAAGACTTCATAGTACTTGGCCCTACAATCAACACCAATGGAAGCAGCAGTCAAGATATCAGACAACATACTGTATTCAGCAAATCTGCTGCAAAAGACCTCTTTAAAGTGCTGAAGAGCAAAGATGTCTCCTTGAAGATTAAGATGGGCTTGACCAAAGCCATGGTATTTTCAATCACCTCATATGCATGTGAGAGCTGGAAAATGAATAAGGAAGACCTAAGAAGAGTTGATGCTTTTGAATTGTGGTGTTGGAAAAGAATACTAAAAGTACCACGGACTGCTAAAAGAACTAACAAATCTGTCCTGGAAGAAGTACAGCCAGAATGCTCCTTGGAAGTGAGAACAGCCAGAATTCATTTCACCTACTTTGGTCATGTGAGAAGGGACCATTTTCTGGAGAAGGATATCATGCTTGGTAAGAGGAGTGTCAAATAAAAAGGGAAAGGCCTTCAATAAGGTGGATTGAAACAGTGGCTGCAATGATGGGCTCAGATACATGGATTGTGAGGCTGGCATAGGCCTGGGCAATGTCTCATTCTGTTGTACATAAGGTCGCTGTGAGTTGGAGATGACTCAATGGCAGCTAACAGAGCTAACAACAACAAAAACAACAGGTGTTTCTGGATAGTAGTACAGGTCATTTTTCTTTTCTTTTGTATACTTCTCTATATTAAAGTAAATTATAAATGACATTTGGGTTTTTTAATTGGAAAAAACTGAAGAAATAGTCAACAATATTATTTGGAGATTTCCGGTAAGATGGCGGGATAGGCAGACAGCAACACAGACCCTCTTCAACAAAGAAAAGAAAAAACAATTGACAGAGATACAAAAGATAATCCTGGAGCTCTGAGCTTTGAAAGAAACTATACAGAAATGGATTAGGCACCAACTAGTGGAAAACCTGAACAAAAACAGTGAGTACAGAGACGGTTGGAGCTGCGGACTGTCAGCTACTCTGATGGGACCAACAGCCTGAATATTTCCAAGTGGTGTTGGGACCTGAGAATAGACCTAAAAATCAGCCGTGGTCACCAAAGGCTGCAGGGACAACTGCATATGACTGGGAAGGGAAACAGCAAAGAGGAAGATAACCTGAGCTGTTGACTTTCTGCTGTCTGGAGGGCACAGCCATTTTGAATGTTTACAAGTGGCGGCCATTTTGGATATTTAAAGTGACTGAGGGTGCAGCCATTTTGAATCTTTACAAGTGGCAACCATTTTGGATTTTAAAGTGACAGCATTCTCATTTGGATTCCAGGGACCTAAGAATAGGCTCGGTTTGCCAAGGTCAGCAGGGACATACAAGAGTCTGGCAACAGGAAAGGAAACAGGTGTTAAGTGTATAAGTGCTGTCAACTAGTAAATAGAGGAGCACAGTACAGTACCCTGCTTGCATAGATAACATACAAAGAAAACAAAAGTCATGGGCAAGTCACTCCAATATACAATAACCAATTAAATACAAACACAAAAAGTCACAATGCCTCAGAGACAACAGAGCATCAAAGTCCACACAATGAAGCAAGATAAAACAAGAGAAACAAGGGACTAGAATACAGACCCAAAACACATTCCTGAGGAAGATGCAGCATTGGAACTCCCTGATAAGGAATTCAAAAGAATTATATTTAGGTATATTCAAAGAATTGAGAAACAGATCAAGAAAAACACTGACAAAAGAGGAAAACACAGAGAAAACCCTATAACAATTTTGAAAGAAAATACAAGAACAAAATGACAAAATAAATGAAAAATTAGAAATGATACAAAATCCACACACAGAAATCCAGAAGATTAATACTAAATTTTCAGAA